CCCCTAAAAGGTTCAAAGGTCTGGGAATAATTCGAGCAAAATGGGAAAGTTCTATACAGCATATAAATATGTGTGTAATTCTAAAAAACGTACAAAATAGCCATGTAAACGAGCTAATAAACATCCCCCAAAGAATTACCATGTCACTTCAAAAACTTCAAATAGAAATTGATGATATTTTTACACATGATTTTGAATTGAAAGAGAAAAAAAGAATTGGTTTAAATTTGAGATCAAAATTACAGTTGAAAGAATTTGAACTTTGGTCTAAATTACCATGTAAAGGTAGAGGAATAGAATTATTCAAAGAAGTGCCTAGTAGCAACACATGGATTTATTTGAAAAATGGCCTTACTACAGGAGAATGGATCACTTCATTAAAAATGATATCTGGTGTTGTACCAGTACGCAGCGTACCAGGGCGAAGCCAGGATGGAACCCTTTGCAGACATTGCAAGGAGCCTGAAACCCTTCCGCATGTCCTTGGCTCTTGTCCCTTTGGTGCCTTACTGCGTAATGCAAGACACCATGCTGTAAGAGCAATGATCGCAGAAGAACTACGAAAAAAAGGCTGGCAAGTAGTAGAAGAAATACATTGCACTGAAGATGGTGGATCGAACAGAAGATTGGACATTTTAATTTATGATACAAAATCTAAAAGTGGAATTGTAATTGATCCAACAATAAGGTTCGAAACATCATCAAACCAACCCCTAGAAGTAGATGAAGAAAAGAGGAAAATTTATAGTAAATGTGAAACTTATTTAAGAAACAAATATAATCTAAATTCAATATCAGTAATTGGCATAATGATTGGTGCAAGAGGGACTATTACAAAATTTTTTGACGAATTTTTAAAAAAATATAATCTTCCATCAAAATTAAAAAATGAAATAGTCATAAAAGTGCTAAAAGAATCATGTAAAATCATTCAAAATCATTTATATGGACAACGTTATTAATCTATGTTACATGTTATTTATATCGTAAATTTAAGTTTTTTTTTTACTGTGTCTAATAGGCAAAGTTTATTAATAAACTCAGTTTTCAAAATAAAAAAAATAAAATAGGGCATACATTTTTGTAAAAATTTGATTGCTATTTGTTTAAAAATTCAATCTACTTAACAAGTGTTTGGATTAGGCAGTATGGACTTTTGGTACATCTTCCCGTTGCGAATCACGGGCACCAGCAGCTAGTTCCGTTTATTCACTAATTGTAAATAAATTATAACGTAAAGATATAACTGACAGTTGGTAGGAAGATGATTACACAGGTCGCCAATTGTTTTCAGATAACGTATTATCATAGATAAAACATACTCCCTTAGTAGATTTCTCATCCTTGTGGAACAGCTGAAGACAATTTTATTGTTAGTTCTGTACGGTTCATTGTAGAGGTCGTGTTTTGTTTACAATTTTTTCCCCGTTATTACAGCCATTTAAAACCCCGTTTAACCAAATGATACGATCTAATCATAAACAATAACTTGTCCCCTAGTTATATAACCAAACAGTAAAGCACAAATCAAGAAATTAACCCTAAAATAATAGAAACAAAGCTTCGTCGACACTAGCGCCCATGTGTCACGTACATGAACTAGACATGAAAAACGTGCTTCAAAATTTACAATGAGATGAGAAGTCTACTTGTGTTGGTTAGTCTATGGTATTATCTCGTCTCATATGGTATTTGGTAAGTGACGTTTTAGTACAATTTTAAAGAAACTTGTCCAATATCATTCAAAACAGTGATTTGGATTGTTTTGTCTAAAAATCTTTCAAAAAGTATAATCCGATGACTAAATAAAATAATTTAATACAAGAAATAGAATAGTTTTATCAACAGCAGAATATTAGTTTGGTTCTCTTTTGTGATTACTACGTGAAATGAAAAACAGTACCATAGGTTGGAAATTAAAGGACAATCGCGATCTCGCAACTACGGGAAAGTGAACTGACCTGAGTGACTCGACACCTCAATAACTGGAATGGCCTGTTGATGCGAAAGAAAAATCTAACTAAGAAATGCCAGATTAAGTCCATTCGTAGAAACGTGCGAGGGGATTAACGGGACACCCCTGTATTCTGTTCCCTAATATTTCCTTTAAAGTTCCCAGTACTGACTGTTATGGGTTTGTTTATATTAAACAATCGGCCAAATACTTTGCACCAGGTGACCACGTCTACATTTTACAACGTGCATTTCGTTCACCTTTCCCAGTAATAATTCGTGGTTCGTTCCTGATTTTTTAATAATAAGGCATATTGTGCTATTGTTCTAAATACATACAAGATATATTCAAAAAGGCGAAAAAGAAAGAAAAAAGTTTTGAGGTAATAACAAGCCTATATTTTAATCAGGAAAGTGTTATCATCATGCCAAATTTCAGCCTAATCCCGATGTGCCCAATGAATTGTTATTGAGTGATTGAACCACAAACAAACACACAAACATTCATTTGTAATATTAGTAAAGTAGCACTGTACTTCAACGTATGAATCAGGCCGTAACTTGAAATAAACGCTTAGGCCAGTTACATTTTTAACATCCAAATGTAATATTATTTCGCCAAACAGCGTTGATCAGTTATTAAACGGAGGCAAATGGTACCAAAAGTCATTATCTTGCAAAAAAAAATCATTTTTTTTTCAAACAAAAATCAGGTTAACACAAATAAAGGACTTTGGCTTTGACTTTTTTCAGGTTATAATCCTAAGTCAAATTTGTATCTAATCGTATAATGAAACTGCTTGATGCATAATTAAGGTTCAAACGAATCAGTAATATTATTTTAACCTATGTAGATACGATATACTGCACATTGTGAAAATTGTTTAGTCGAGGATACATTTACACATAAACATCATCATTATTTAAATGTTTAATTGGCCAACACAAATGTTGTGATTATTGTTTTGAAACTGCTACACATCCGATCATCAAGTTTAAGGTGTCGTTGGATAGGTCGTGACATGTAAATTTGCCATAAAACAAAACACATCTGAAATTCCATCAGGGCTCTGCCCCAGTGGCCTTCAGCCAATTGAAAGCGTCAATATACGTGATTTAATTTATTTCATATCACGGACGATTACTCAATATGAAACATTAGAAATGACAAAATAATGTAAAAATAAACGGTATCAGCATTCTGAAACATACTTTCTCCCATAAGCTTGTTAACATCCTATATCATGGGAAAGCGGTGATAGTATATAGTTCAAAATCACAAAAGCTGAAATAACTTTTGGACCGTAATATTGTTACAGCAATGGGGTGTTGTACTATTTTTTAAAACATAATTTGTTTATGTTTATAATCCATACCGGGTCTCTTCTACATAGTATTCGTGATCTAATCACAGAATACCGATAATTTCACCCGAATTACCTTTTGAATTCAAGTGAATACAATTTTCTTTGCGTCTTGCTTTCGCAATCACCATTATAAAATGGCACAAGACTATCCCTGACTATCGCCGGTTTAAATGTATAAAATGCATGCTTTTCACACGTATGTTGCGTGCGCACGTGGTGGTAGGTGCGCATAAAAACTTATATATTACTTATATATAACTTATATAATATTTATACGCCTAATGAAAAAAAATTGTTTATTCACTGACAATTAAGTAAAATAACTATTCTATTTTTGTTTTTAGTATACGTTTTTATCATCTCATATTAATACGCGAGGACTGTGTTTTGTGAACACTGCTCCTCCCTTATTTGTGGACAAATTTCAACGTTTAAGGTGTTGGTGTTAAAGGATTCGGACCAATTCGTAGTTTTGCATTAAGGTTTTAGAATTTAAAAGTTCCTACCCTTAAGGGCGTGAGACCCTTTCAAATGTCGGGTTTTCACCATGTTAATAGTTGTATTACATATCAATCTTTCTTCCGAAAATAAACTAAAATGTCCAGACATGCTATTTAAGAGTTAGGTACATTAACTTTCTCTAAATTAACTGAATCAAAGGACAATATATTTAATGCTACAGAATATAAATCCAACCGATTTATTTATTGATAAATCCAACCGCGAGGTGGTGGGTTGTCGAGGTGGCACGTTGTCGCCTATGAGCGAGGTGGCGCGTTGACGGCACCGAACACTGAGCGTACACGTCAACCAGCCACCTCGTAAAAGAGTGGTGGCGGGTTGACGGGGTGGCACGTTGTCGCCTACGTACGAGGTGGCGGGTTGCCGACATCGAACATGGAGCTTCACGACAACCCGCCACCTCTGATAAAAACTGGTGTTGGCGGGTTGTCATAGTGGCATGTTGTCGTGGTGGCTCATTGACTTGAGTGTGTACGACAACCCGCCACCTCGGAAAATTGTGTGGTGGTGGGTTGTCGTGGTGGCCTGTTGTCGAGGTGGCGGGTTGACCTGTACGTACACGTCAACCCACCACCTCGGTTTTTTTGTGGTGGCGGGTTGACGCCTCTGACCAAAACACCGAGGTGGCGGTTTGACGTGGTGGCGCATTGACAGCGACCCCTATTAGCTGAATGATGCGCTCCAAAGTTTCATAATAACATGTCCATGCTTCTGAATGATTGATATAGTTTTAAAACTACGTAGCATCTTTATAATTTTACATCATTTTACATTTTACACAAGCAATATTTGGTGCCGTTGTATTTCGTTAAAAAAAATATTTTTTTAATATTTCGACACCATGTTTTCCCACGAATATTTGGGTCGCTGTCAATGCGCCACCACGTCGAAATATTAAAAAAATATTTTTTTTAACGAAATACAACGGCACCAAATATTGCTTGTGTAAAATGTAAAATGATGTAAAATTATAAAGATGCTACGTAGTTTTAAAACTATATCAATCATTCAGAAGCATGGACATGTTATTATGAAACTTTGGAGCGCATCATTCAGCTAATAGCTTACCTTCGTCATTGGGAAAAAATATCAACCCAACTGTTCTACTCAACCAAGGTGTCCTACAAAACAGTCTGCTAGTCAGCCTATTCTACTACGGCAGTCAAAACATTAGTGTATTTGTCTTATTTAATTTAGTTAGTAACGAAACAAGTTTTATTTTTTGTAAAACTGCGATCGAATACTGCGTATTACCGTTACCTGTCTTAATTACTTGTAACCTAACTTCTTAGAGGTTATTTTCAACATTAATTCTGTAACTAAGAAATCATTCAGACTTTGACTCCCGACCTTCTTTTCTGCGATCCTCCCCGTGTTGAGCGTTATGGCTGCCACCGTTGGAAGAATTTGCAGGTCGGGGCTGTTGAAAACTAAGCCTTCACATATTCCTCTTCAGGTTCGTCCTTGTCATAATTTTGTTCTATTATTAAGTTTTAAAATACAACTTTCGCCTGAGCGATTTTTGTTACAGGTTACATAATGTCACCTCTATCGCCTTGGCCTAGGGCACCTTTCAACCTTCAGGCTAGGGCATTAGGGCACATGAAAAAAAGGATTCTTGTTGTTTATCTAGCATGTTACGATCTTGGGAGCATTTAAACTAATCTTAACTTTTAATAACCGTAGAATACTATCACCTAAGTTACTTATCTTACCATTTGGTTTATGTTTGTGATGAATGGGTAGGCCTAGACTCTAGTCTAAGCATAGGGCTTATTCTCAATTTAATTTCCAGGATCCATCCAGGAACAGATAGGCTATTATTATTTACATTTTAAAGGCTAAACTCTAATGCAAATATGTTGGAAAGGTACCTAGGCCTAGCTGAGTATTAGCCTGAGTTATTTCTGTCAATTTGTCATGGTAGACAAAAAGTTATCGTTATAAATTCAGACGCCACCTAGGTGCGTTTAAACCAGAATATGAGTGAAGCTGGAGAACGAGTGTAGAATAGAGTGAGATGGGTAATTATTTGGACGTAGTGACTACTCGCAAAAGTGAAATTTTTGTTTTTCAAAATGACCTAAATTTCACGCTGAATCCGAAAATGATGTTTTTATTTTTCGGAAAATACCGGAAATTCCCGAAAAAAGGGAAAAACGGGAAAAATAAATTTTTACTCAAAATACGTCATGTGGGTACTCAAAATACGCGGAATATTGTGTAGATTAAGAATACGCAAAAATTATTTTGATCCAATGAAAAACACCGGAGATAGGGCGAAAAAACGGTGAATAATTGGTTAGGTTAGGCTTGGTTTGGTTAGGTTAGGTTAGGTTAGGATTGGTTAGGTAAGGTTCGGTTCGGTTAGGTTAGGTTAGGTTAGGTCCGGTTAGGTTAGGTTAGTTTAGGTCAGTTTATCAATAACATGAGTATTGTAAGTAAACTAACCTAACCTTACCTAACCAAACCTAACCTAACCAAACCTAACCAAACCAAACCTAACCTAACCTAACTCAACCTAACGTAACCTAACTCAATCTAACATAAACAATAATAATAAAATAATAACCATCTGATCAGCTGGTATTTTAACACGGACAAAAGTTGGACAAAAAATCCAAAATAACATCGCACATTTTCGGGTTAGGTTAGGTTAGGTTTGGTTAGGTTAGTTTACTTACAATACTCATGTTATTGATAAACTAACCTAACCGAACCTAACCGAACCTAACCTAACCAAACCTAACCTAACCAAACCTAACCTAACCTAACCAAGCCTAACCTAACCAAGCCTAACCTAACCAAGCCTAACCTAACCAAGCCTAACCTAACCAATTATTCACCGTTTTTTCGCCCTATCTCCGGTGTTTTTCATTGGATCACAAAAATTCTTGCATATTCTTAATCTACACAATATTCTGCGTATTTTGAGTACCCACATGACGTATTTTGAGTAAAAATATTTTTTCCCCGTTTTTTCCTTTTTTCGGGTATTTCCGGTATTTTCCGAAAAATAAAAACGTCATTTTCGGATTCAGCGTGAAATTTAGGTCATTATGAAAAACAAAAAATTCACTTTTGCGAGTAGTCACTACGTCCAAATAATTACCGTGAGATGATCTGTGTAGCTTTGTCATTGACCTAGATTACCGGTAACTTAGCTGTTTCATAAACCAGAACCATTGATTTATACCCCATTGATCTGGAACAGACGGGTCGAGTTTTGCACTAGCAATAAGCCGCTGATTGTTTACAGGATGGATCCGGCAACCTTTTGATTGATAGGCGAGTACTATAACCATTCAGCTACCCAGCCACTATCATTATTTGGACGAAAATTAGGTCATTGATCAAGTTAACTAACTTTTGTGATGTGCCTGATTAAATTGATTTTTATTAGGCTAAATGTAATTGTCAGGCTTCATGTAAAAGCCATCAAATAAGTTATAGGTAAGAATATCATACTTAACACTTGACCTGTTAAGTTATTACGAGTTGTTTCTGAAAATAGCCTAAGTTAATCCATATAAGCTTATATAAAGTTAAAGTGAAGTCATATAAAGTTAGGCCTAAGCTTCATATTTTATCATTAGATTTTTTCAAAATTGAATTCTTTGGATTTAAATTAGGCCTAGGCTAAATTTTATAGGCCTACACTATTTCTTTGGTAATTTTGGGAAAAACACCTAAACACGGTTTCCCCCCTCCCGAAATACACAATTTACTTAACACGTTGACTGCGGCCTACTGCTATAGCAGTAGCGCGGCACTGGCACTGCTCGCGGCCTACTGCTATATCAGTAGTGTGCTCGCCTGCCAAACATTGTGTCAAGGTATGAGCCCAGCACATGGCTGGGAACGTTGTGATTGTTGCCAGGCTGTAGCTTAGAATGCGAGCTTTATTTTGGTGTGTAGGTTGGTACTAAACATTCCCGTAAAATCCCGTCTGGCAATGCTATATTGTCCCGTTTTCGGGGATTTTCTCTCTTCGAGCCATATTACAAAGACTCTGGTTATTGATCCAAGCAGTGATGCTCCCTTTGGGTGTTTCAGTGAACTACGTCCACTTTAGGGGGAACGAAGAACAACCACCACTGCTCTTTTGTGGTTCGTCTTACTGAGATATTTCAATGCCAATAGCAATCGCTGATTCAGTAGCGCGCCGAGGCTCCGCCCGCAGTTTAGGGAGCGCCATTGTTAAGATTTTCAGTAGTGAACGTGTTAAGGTTAAGTTACTGTATCTACCACATATTTTAATTATTTTTACACAATACCGTACTTATATTAATTTTGCGGATTAGATTTATCATCATTGTTTGGTCAAATTAGTGTAATCCAACTTGATTGCCTTCTGTGATTCATTGTAACGGAACTACACGTCCAAATAGACACACTTCTTCCACCAAACCGATTTTATCCAGCTTTAAGTATACAAAATTTAGCAGATGTATTATTTTATTAATAGGTAGGGGCCTTCTAGACGCTGTCCAGTGGTCGAAAACTCAACAAAAAATATGTAATCCCTACTGACTATTTTCACCCTATACTGTAAATAAAACATGTGATTTGAATTTCTTCGATTTGTTTTGATTTTCTGTTTATGTTGTGTTGTTATTTCGTCACCATGCTGGCAACCCATAAGGTCCATGTAATTTTTTAAATTTTAAGTTCATTTTTTGTGCATATTTTTGAGTTTATTTTAATTTATGAAAGGATTCTGCACATCTACTCTACAGGAAAATATCTTCCCAACTAACAGTAGGCTTTGTGTAGATTTTCCCTGCGATGCACACGAGCTGAGAAAAATTGTATCTATTTTTCAGTTGGGAAATAAAATATTAGCTATTTAATTTAATTTCACTTTTTGTTTTTACTAAATTATCTCAGTGGTTTAGTCTTCCTCTATGTTAATATTTGGATCCCACTCAGCAGAAATATCTTTAAGTCACTTAATGTTATGTTTTATCACCTTTGATGATTTGGCTGTAAAATCTAATTTTGTTAGCCTATTTACACACTATTTCCTTTTGGGGAAGTAAGTTTGGGTGTTCAGTATGTCGGTCCTTTGGGTTGATAGTGCCACAATATTAACTCAATCATTTTGATTTATAATATAGTCATGAAAAGATTTAAAAAAATGCATTTCTGCGGTGGTGGAAACTTTGTAAACAATTCAGTGAGTTATGAAATATTTTTTCTTTTCAAGAAGAATATTTAAATAACTTATCCTGTCAACTTTTTTTCAGGTTTCAACATTTTCCACTGCAAAGGGATGGTCCAGAGGGCGCAAAGCGGTAATTATCCACTCTTAAATTCTTTGTTGTACCCTAGAACTAGTACTACAAAAAATGTATGATATCCTTTTTTACATTATTTAATTTGTAGCATGTTTCATTCAGCAGCTATGTATTTACAGTAAAACCTCACTAACCCGACATCCTGTAAGTCGACAGTCTGTGTAACTCAACAGTCTACAACTGACAGGGTGCATGCAAAATAAAGCAACTTTTTCAGAACTTAGTTTAAATTGTTGAATATTTGACATTTTTTTGAAGATTGTTTTACTCAATTCAAAAAAAAAATATTCATGAAAGTAATAAATTTGTATGTAAAAATTAGTCTGTTATGTATTTATTTATTAAAACCCATTAAATATTTCAATGTTCTGGATAACTCGACAACTCCCAAACTCGACAACCTCTGGGCTCATAAATTGTCGAGTTAGGTTTTTCTGTAACTTAGATACCTAATCTAACTTAATAAAGTGGTATATATTACCTTTCCGTCAGTAATCCTATTGTCGTTGTCTTAGGCGACCGGTTTCGGGATTAAAATCCCATCATCAGGCAGTTAAAAATGTCATTATCACTCAAATTGAGGTTGTGTATTGAGGTTAATGACATTTGTAACCTCCTGATGATGGGATTTTAATCCCGAAACCTGTCGCCTAAGACGATGACAATAGGATCACCGACAGAAAGGTAATATAAACCATTTGATTTAATAAGTGATCCTGGACCACTAAGCATAATGTAACTTAATAAACCTAAAACCTTTTCTTAGAGTGATGGATTTAAAGTTCTGTAGATTATGAAAATATTTTTTTATATACATCATTTCTTCCTTAAAATACTAAATAGTTAAACATTGTCCAAAAGTTTATGACATTTAATACTTGTAAAGTTGAAGCCTTAGTATTACCCTTGAATCCTAGAAAAATACCGGTATAACATATGTTTTGGCAGTCCCATTTAAGCAATGTTAAATAATGTTTATTTTCGGGCCAAAAACGTCATTTGTTTATGTTTATGATCCATACCAGGTCTTTTCTAGTATTCGTGGTATTACCTATTATTTGATTTGACAGTTGATTGAGTTACACACACAGTTGTTTCATTCTGTTCACTGTGGCCACCATCAAAGTAGTGCAATTATCACCTCTAAGCTGTGAATATCTATCTGTGGTATTTGCCGTATAATTTTCTGGTATGTGATGAACTTTCACATAGCAACATACATAACTACACATACATATATCTATATGTTAAACACGGGCCTTTTATTCAAACAAGATTAGAATTAGATGTCAAATATGACAAAACCAGATGGATCCAAGTTCTGATAGCCTGGTGTGTGTTGCAGTTTTACGCCACTTGCGGGGTGGTGGCCGGGGGAGCAGGCGCTTTGTTGTTTGCGTTGGATCAGTCCATCAAGGCTGAGGATCTTGAGCTTCATCCACCCAAGAACCCCTGGACCCACAATGGGTGGTTCGACTCCTATGACCATGCAAGGTGAAAAAATACAATCAGTCTACGTTGACTTTCATTGTTCCATTTGTTAACTTTGAGTTTTTCAGTTTTTTTTTTGTGATTGAAAGTTGTCTATTGATTAAAGTCCGGCACATCCTTGGCCAGTATATCCTCAACACTTTGGATACCACCAATAGGCCTGGTTGTCATCATGTATAATTGAATGGAATTCTAATGTCCTACACCAGCGGCATCAAGCATGATTAAGTAAAGCGGATTGCCTTTGGAAAATTTAGAACCTGTAGTGTTGGATTGTGTTAGACAGCTGTGAGCCACTTTAAACTAGCTCAAAATACAAGTCATGCCTATTTGTTTTGACTCGATAATTATTTTCAAAATACCTGCATGAGCTGCTATTTTATTTAGTTTTACCAAATCTTAATGAATATTTAGTGAGATTATTTTGAGAAAGTAACTTGTAACTAGTTAATTTGTGTTGCCATTACCTAGACAGCTGGATAGCTGAGTTGTCATAGTGACTGCCTGGTAATCAAAAGGTCGTCCTTTAGTCCTGAGAAAAAGTGTGTAACTTCTTGATAGTTCAATCCTGGACCCAGCTGCCCTTGATCATGGTGCTTTTAATAAATGAGGCTAATGAAACAGCTGGTCTTAGTAACAAAGCTACTCAAGGCATCTCACTTTATGTACACTCATCCTTTACTCTTGTGTTGAAATACACACCTAGTTGCTGTCCCTCACAATTGCTAATAATAATAATAATAATAATAATCTGGTAGGGTACAAGTTGGGCTAAGTTTTGTAAGGATAATTATTCAATAATTCAAAACAAATTTTTGTATACTAGCCGAGTACCCGCCCTTCGTACGGGGTTGACGTATAAGTATAAAATGCTTATTGCATTAAAACTCGTGCTTTGCGTTTGCAATGGGAGAGGACGTGTTTTAAGACGATTTGCTTAACTATAATTTACGGTGTACTATAGTATAGCACATCTACCATAGCCTTCTACCACTTCACCTTATCAATAGAAAAAAGTAAAGTTCTCACAGCTTTTTGTTGCTACTTGGTTCAAATTAGCTGTTGTCATAAACGTAAAAAGAATTAATAGTGCTGCACCCTGTTGGTAAACCTTATAAACTTAAATCTATTGAATATCATAGAAACAAATATTGTAGTTGAAACGTCTGGCAAAATTCATTAATTCCTTTTAAATATGAATACTCATAAGGTTAACATGGGAAACTGTAGAGCCACTTGGTCAGGAGATTAGAATATGTTTATATGTTAATCGGGAATGTGACCTATCATCATACCAAATTTCAACCCAATCCGACCAGTAGTTAATGCGTGATTGAACTTCAAATAAACAAACAAACACATAAACTTTACCTTTAATTTATAATATTAGTATGAAGTATGATATATATTCAAAATACAGCATGAAAAATGAATCATATCCAATTCAACCTAACCTGTCCCAAGTTGGAGTCTAAAGAGGGGTTGAGGAAAACTTACAGATTTAGACTGCGTCCCTTAGGTAATTGTTTGTTTTCTCACACTTTGTGTTGTTGTCAGTATGCGGCGGGGGTATGAGGTTTACAAGCAAGTGTGTGCCGCATGCCACAGCCTCAGGTTTATCGCCTACCGTAACCTCATCGGAGCCACACACACGGAGGAAGAGGCTAAAGCTGAGGCCGAGGAGCAGATGGTGAGTTAATGTTTACTTTTTTTTTCATTTATAAGGTTAAATAAAAACTATGTACATATTTTTTATCCTTTAACTGGTACAATATGGGAATTGGATGTTTTCTTCTTGGGCATACTCTAATATACCATTAAATGATTTATAAACCATTTACAGATCTTAGATGGACCGGATGACACTGGCAACATGTTCAAGCGACCAGGCAAGCTGTCTGACTACTTCCCTAGTCCGTATCCCAACGAGGAGGCTGCCAGGGCTGCCAACAATGGAGCTTATCCCCCGGACCTGAGCTACATCACTGCGGCCCGCCATGGTGGAGAGGTGGGTGACTGAGGACAAAATCCCCTCAACTAAACAAAACAAGATTATAAGGTTATAGGAAGTTAAAGTGTACAAATTTAATGTTTCACAAGTAGTAAAAAAAAAATCAAAAATGAAGTGTTTAGCTATGGTAAGTAAGTCCGTAGTGTGGTGTATTTTTCAAACAATTTAGTACTGATATACCTTCAGTGTCATGTGTAATTTTTTGGTGTTTCTAAAAATCATGTTAGATATTCCTGGGTTAGTTGAACTCTTAGTTTGAAAAAAAAAAAAACTATAATCAGCCACATAGCTTTTCCTAATATAAAATATAAAATTGTAGTGTTATGTCTTCTCTCACAAAACCACTGGTTCTAGGAAAAATTGGACATTCAAAAATATTTGTGACAAACAAAATAACCTCTAGAATTCAAATTTGGTTCATATAATTCAAACCTCTAATGATTACGCTATGATAAAGTTGTGTAGTCTGGTTACCTGGTAATCTTCTTGTTAAGCGTATTGTTCAAGTTATTATCACACTAGAATTTTGACGCATGGTTGTTTTTACATGTCTAAACATATGATTTAGTTTTGCTATGATAGCTGGGAAAGAGTCCACTTTGGCACAAGAAACCAAACACTTGACACTATGTCACCTGTCATTAACAGCTGATCGGGCCAAGCAAGGTTTGTATTGGGAGAGAGGTGAGATGTCTTGCTTCTCAACTAAAATGTTTCCCGGTTATAAATGCTGTCAGTAGGGGTCTGCAGGTACCCAATATTTTCTGGTAAGTCGGGCCAATAGTTGGCCTGAGGGATCAGTTATGGCTGGAAATTACTGTTGAGTCAAGCTCGGGTTGGGCCGAGCATCTGCAATAATAAGTGATGTTCACGATTTTTCCGCCGTAGATTGTCTCGGTTTCGCCGTCACCGCAGAAAATCTTGTACTTCAAAGTCAAAGTCAAAGTCAAAGTCAAAACATTCTTTATTCATTATAGTTTCACATTACATGAACTTGAATAGAGTCATGAGCTAAATTCAAAATTGCTTACTGCTAATTAAATACATAAAAAGAGTACTAAAATTACTTTACTTTAACTTTTAACAAAACCATGACTTTAAGGATTACAGTATTTGGAATTCAAATTAAGTTAGGCCTAACTGTTTTTTACTAATACTAAAGAATTCTGTTACTGAGTAGCAGGGAGTTCTTAAAAAATATTCCTTTAAGAGCTGCTTGAATTTATTAAATTTGGTTTCTTTTCGGATGTGAGCTGGTATAGACTGGAGAAATTTTAGCCCTATGTAAGATGTCTTTTTAGTGTAAAATTCAAGATTATGCCGAGGTAGGTTAATTTTTAATCTGGTGTTATATACTAATTGTTCTGTTGAGCTGGATGATAGTTGGATCTGTTTTGCATAAATTATTGTTTCATAAATATAAAGACTATAAACTGTTAATATTTGTAATTCACGAAAGATGCTCTTGACTGGCTCTTTCTTTTTAAGATTTTTCATCACCCTGATAGCTTTTTTCTGCTTAATTAGTACTTTATCTAAATTAGTTTTTGTTGTTGCCCCGTATAGAACAATTCCATATGAAATATGTGAATGTATTAATGAGAAATAAACAACTCTTAGAGTGTCTAAATTGCATACTCTGAACATCTGCCGCAGAGCATGGATACCGGAAGATACCTTTTTAACCACATAATTCACATGGCCCTCCCAAGATAGATGTTTATCGATAATTAGACCAAGAAATTTTGTTTGCTTTACTTGGTTTATTCTTTCTGATTTTATGCAAATGTTTGGTTCAAAATTTTGTCTACGTTGTTTAGTGGAAAATGATATAAAATTGGATTTTTCTGTGTTAATAAGCAGATTTTTTCGGTCAAGGAATTCTTTAGTGGATAAAAGACTTCTCCGTGAACATAGAAGATGACCGTTAAAGATGTTCTTGATTTTATCGCAGAATGGGCAAGAACGTGTAAAATATTGTGTAAACAGATTGTAGCAATGAAAAAAAAAATTAATAAAAATTAATTATTTATTTTTTATTACACTTAACATGTACTTAAATTATAAGTTAAAACTATTTTAACAATTAAATCAGTTTACAATGAAACAAAACCGAAATCATAGATAAGTTGTAGTAGGTACTGTATTGTTAATGTTTTAAAAAGTCAATACTTTGAAGTAAAAAAGTCTGGCCTGCATACCCAACAGCGACACTGAAACTTTCAAATATTTTTCTGTTAAGTTTTGTATTACTTTTGCCAGATTGAATTCTTTTTCATTCAGGTAATCTATCCTATCTAGCCTGCTATCCTCACAGCAATTCTTAAAACCTAGGACTTTATGCTCAGGTTCATCCAAATTAAATATATAAATTAAAATTTTAATGTATGCAAATAGTTACTTAGACTGATTGTTGATCCTACATGTTTTATTACCATATTTCTTCATTTGCAGGACTATGTGTTTGCCCTGTTGACTGGCTACTGTGATCCCCCGGCTGGAGTTGTGCTCAGGGAAGGCCAATACTACAATCCTTACTTCCCTGGTGGTGCTATTGGCATGGCCCAGGCTCTCTATAACGAGGTAAGCTATGGGATGGAGTGTGTCATTCTCAACTCTCATTGTACAATGACAATGTAAAACAATATTTTTCCAAACAGTCAGTGCACAGTAAAAAAGGTTCTTTAACAACCTTTTAATAAATCTATGTTTTTGTAAAAAAAAATCATTGTTTGGTTTTATTTTTAACTAGCAAACCCGTTGTGGCTTCGCTCACAAAAATTTAAATTAAAAAGATAAATAAGTAGGGCCTACACATCTTTATTTTTTTATTCATTTAACTATTAGAAATTTGTTTTGCAGTAAAACAATTTTTCATTACTCTGTATTCGAAAATAGCCCATTTCCATACAGCTGAGATCTTCGAAAATCTTCAATTTCCATACACCAAAAACAAATAGTGATCAGCTGACTTTTCCTGACATAGGCCTAAATATTACTTTCGCTACACAAACAATACTTTGCCTGACATCAACAAAATTTACTACTGAAGTTCCCAGTTAAAAACAGCCGTATTGTGTTTAGATTAGAAAAATGAATAGATTACGAAATATCAGATAAATTTTTCAGTTTGATGAAGTAGTTTTTTCATTGTGATAACAAGTATCGTTCAATACTCGTCTATCCAGCCCAGAAATGGGTCAGTCCACCCCGGTTCGTGATTAGTAGTGAAATATATTATTTCAAGCCTCAAAAATAATGTAAATATTTTAATTTTATGTAATCAAATATAACCATCTGTTCCCTTTAATTAATAGTGCAGATTCAAAAGTATTCATTAGTTAAAATGTAAACAAATCTTTTCTCCTTAAGGATACCATGGGGACTCTAAAAGCCACTGGGGTGGAGCCCTGATGGAATTTCTTGAAAACTCTTCTTATTGCACACCTAGAGGTTGATTGGAACCTCCATGCCAATTCCTGAGATTTTATGGCTTTTAGTTTTTTTGGATATAGTGATCAGTGAGTGAGTGGTAATTGACTTTTATAAGTATAAGATAGATTGAAAAACTACATTTAAAACAAATATTGATCTTGAAGTTTAGTAGTATCATTGTCGTTTGAGTTGATGATTGATAGTTTGATACATTAGAAATTATTTATTTAACAAGATGAATTGGTCAGGTCTGCTGTGAAACTCATTAGGAGTTACTCTGTCAGTGTTAGAACTTGGGGTAGAGGTAAAAAAAAAAAAAAAATAATAATAATAAATGGACAAGCTCCTGTAGAAATTGCCTGGAAATTTTGTGATTTGTGCCACATATCACGTTTTGTTACTTGTTTCCTATCCTTACTTTGTGTGTGTGTGTTCCCTGAAAACTTGTATGGAAGTTTTAGATATTTGTGTCCATAAAATGAGGGAAAAACATGATGAAAACAGCCATAAATAGGCTATAGATAAATGAAAAATCCTTGGGGATCAATGAGATAATATCCCCTCCTCTCATAACTGCTGTTTTGTTGTCTACCGCAGATTATCGAGTATACCGACGGCACACCGGCCACTCAGAGTCAGCTAGCCAAGGATGTCTGCGCCTTCCTCAAGTGGACTGCAGAACCTGAACATGACACTAGGAAGAAGATGTACATGAAGGTATGTATCGCCTGTTGTGGAAGATTGTAAGGTGTTTTATTTTTTTAAATATAGGTTTTGTAGATATGTATGCTCAGAAGTTAAATTAAACTGAAAAGTTTGGAAATATTGTTTGGTTAGCCAAATAAAATTATTAAAGTTAGCTTTATATTAAGTTTGGTCATGATAAGGACTATACGACTGAGTGTCTAGGGTTGGGTCAAAATTGATTGGATTTGGTCTAGTTTCTACTACTCGTTTAACATAATTAAATACATTACACTCCCAATTAACCGAGATTGTTGGGACCGAAACTACTTTGGTTACTGAGATCTCCGATAACATGGCAGTCACGTAGATTTCAAAGTTAGGGTATACGTTAGTTTACACATTAGGAAGTAAAATACTTGTAATATATGTGCTTTATCAAATCATAGCCCTCAATTAACAAAAGATCAAATAGAATTTTCATAAAAACAAAAACCTCTTAAAATAAGGCAGTGTTATTAAAGTTCAATAATACAAACATGCTCAACACTTCTTCAGTAGTCTTAAAAAGCTTTAAACACAGTATTTTATTATAACTATACTAAACCAATACATTACAGTAATTGAACAAATCATTGTGGTGATCCTTTCTAGTTAAAAAAAGCTTAAAAATAATTTTTTTTTAGTTTGACCTGAGCTCTAACTTAACACAATCAAGTCTACATCAAAAATCGTTACAATGACAAAAGACTGACACTGCTATTGGTTACGTTCTGCAGACAGCTCGTCCAGCTACGTCCATGTCACTGGCCCGGCCATGACGGAATTAGTACATAAGAATTATGCTAATATTTAGTACCTATTTCGTACTATTTAGTACCAACAAACAAAAAATTAGTACCCCACTCGGTACCGGATAACTAATTAATTTAGGATTCCGGGCCAGTGACATGCTGGCCCGGCCATTTTCGAATTTGATCCTAATATGTATACCATCATTTAGTACCTATTTCGTACTATTTTGTACCTCCATTAATATAATTTGTACCTCAAAGAAAACCAAGCTACGGGCCCGTTAACTGTACAGGTCAATGACCCCTCAGCCCGGCCATATCGGAACCTATGGTTATAAGCTATACTACTATTTAGTACTTATTTCGTACTATTTTGTACCTCCATTAATATAATTTGTACTTCAGATAACCAAGCTACGGGCCCGTTAACTGTACAGGTCAATGACCCCTCAGCCCGGCCATATCGAAACCTGTAGTTATAAGCTATGCTATTATTTAGTACCTTGTTCTTACTTTTTTGTACCTTTCGAGGTAAAAAAATTACCTCAAAGATAAACAAACTACTTATGTTAGGTACATATTGTATGTGTAATCATGTTATTGTTAGTGGTTAATTACCCCTCAGCCCGGCCATGTCACAGTTTCTAGTTATAAGGTATGCTATTATTTAGTACTCAATAATTAACAAGTGATGCAGTTATTTGGTGGTTATCTCCAACTATTTAGTTCTTCATATTAAACAATATGTACTACTCATACAACCCAAGTAATCAATGTGTCGAGGTTTAGGCTATTTTGGTGCGAGGGTACTGTGGTGATTTTTTTATTTCATTCAACATTAAGTTCACAACTTAGTTACCGTAATTTTTTCTTTCTTTTTTCTTAATTAATTTATGTTGTAAAACTTAACGAGCTGTTGGCCCGTCCTACGTACGGGAATTTAGTAGTCAACTAAAACTGAAGTAATATCAATATTTCTAGAATGTAGAATGTTAGCGTCGGCTGCTAGACTTTTTACAATTTTAAACTTATCTTCTAAAAAACTGAAACCCTAAACTAAAATTATGGCTTCAACATTCCCTAGTTTTCAAAATTATTTGTCTTTCAGTTTTTTTAGTAGTTTTTTTAGAAGTACAAATTATATTAATGGAGGTACAAAATAGTACGAAATAAGTACTAAATAGTAGTATAGCTTATAACCATAGGTTCCGATATGGCCGGGCTGAGGGGCCATGGATCTGTACAGTTAACGGGCCCGTAGCTTGGTTTTCTTTGAGGTACAAATTATTTTAATGGGGGTACAAAATAGTACGAAATAGGTACTAAATAGTAGTATAGCTTATAAGTTATAACCATAGGTTACGATATGGCCGGGCTGAGGAGTCGTTGAACTGTACAGTTCACGGGCCCGTAGCTTGGTTTTCTTTGAAGTACAAATTATATTAATGGAGGTACAAAATAGTACAAAATAAGTACTAAATAGTAGTATAGCTTATAACCATAGGTTCCGATATGGCCGGGCTGAGGGGTCATTGACCTGTACAAGTAACGGGCCCGTAGCTTGGTTTTCTTTGAGGTACAAATTATATTAATGGAGGTACAAAATAGTACGAAATAAGTACTAAATAGTAGTATAGCTTATAACCATAGGTTCCGATATGGCCGGGCTGAGGGGTCAAAGTTGTGAACTTAATGTTGAATGAAATAAAAAAATCACCACAGTACCCTTGCACCAAAATAGCCTAAACCTCGACACATTGCTTACTTGGGTTGTATGAGTAGTACATATTGTTTAATATGAAGAACTAAATAGTTGGAGATAACCACCAAATAACTGCATCACTTGTTAATTATTGAGTACTAAATAATAGCATACCTTATAACTAGAAACTGTGACATGGCCGGGCTGAGGGGTAATTAACCTCTAACAATAACATGATTACACATACAATATGTACCTAACATAAGTAGTTTGTTTATCTTTGAGGTAATTTTTTTACCTCGAAAGGTACAAAAAAGTACGAACAAGGTACTAAATAGTAGCATAGCTTATAACTACAGGTTTCGATATGGCCGGGCTGAGGGGTCATTGACCTGTACAGTTAACGGGCCCGTAGCTTGGTTATCTGAAGTACAAATTAAATTAATGGAGGTACAAAATAGTACGAAATAAGTACTAAATAGTAGTATAGCTTATAACCATAGGTTCCGATATGGCCGGGCTGAGGGGTTATTGACCTGTACAGTTAACGGGCCCGTAGCTTGGTTTTCTTTGAGGTACAAATTATATTAATGGATTTACAAAATAGTACGAAATAGGTACTAAATGATGGTATACATATTAGGATCAAATTCGAAAATGGCCGGGCCAGCATGTCACTGGCCCGGAATCCTAAATTAATTAGTTATCCGGTACCGAGTGGGGTACTAATATTTTGTTTGTTGGTACTAAATAGTACGAAATAGGTACTAAATATTAGCATAATTCTTATGTACTAATTCCGTCATGGCCGGGCCAGTGACAAGGACGTCGTCCAGCTTGCCAATGGTCGTTGATAATTTCAACCACTAAATAAATATGATATATAAGGATGTATAAAAATCACATGGTGAATATTAACCAAGGAAGTCTATAAAATTGACAGCAATGTGCCTGGGAAGACTGTCTTAGAATACATTATTTTAAAAATGTTTTCGTGGATATTATTAGTTTAGTAACTAAAACTGTAATTTGTTGACAGGTTCTGGTTGTAAGCGCAACCTTGATCGGTATGACTGTGTACTGGAAGAGACACAAGTGGATCTCACTCAAGTCCAGAAAAATTGCATTCAAGCCCCCGTCAAGCCAAGAATAAAAGGCTAACTGTAGTTGAAAATGTGGTTACACGTATTAGTAAAATACATCAAACGCAATCTAGCGATGCTATTCACTCAAAGGTTTTAAAATTGTATTTATGAAATGTAAATAAAACCATTTATGTCGACAACGTTGAATAATTAAAACTGCCGATCCCGTGGAAAATCAAATCCTAGCTCGCTTCTTTATTTATTTTTGCATTGTAATTGTACCTATCTTACAATGGCCCGTGAGTGTTTTATGTTGTTTATCAATTTTATGATAAATACACATATGTTTGTACAGAATTAACTATATTGTTAAAGTAATTGTACCTTTCTGTTATTTTCTCGGATGAACCTGTGAACTTGTTATGTTAAATAAATTTTATTAGCCATATGAAATGTTTTAATATGAAGTCATTCCATTAGTTTATTCATAAATGCTAGTGAGAAAGAGAAGTTTGAATTATTTTCAAATCCACTTATTATTTTAATATATTCCAATCCAATTAATATTTTCACTGTACATTTTTAAAATCTTATATTACATTGCAAGTAGGCTATTACTCCAGACTCCAGGTATTATAAAACCTAAACAACGGAACACACGGTAATTGTATTTGGTTGCCTTTGTGATGAACAAATTGAATTATCTTTCAAAAAACTGTAGCACTTTTATTAATGGTTATACAGTAACTAGCCTATACAATACCCCCGCCGCAGCAAACCTGCCGACTAAGCGAATTTCCATTTGTCTGAATTGATTTTCAATTAAACCTATTTAAATAACATTAGGTTTAGTGAGCACCTAGGTTTGCTGCTAAATTCTTTAGAATAGAATTACAAGGCATATACTGAGACATTGCCTAATCATAGAGGTTATTGACGTCGTAATATACAGTACTGTGACATTCACTAACCATAGAGGTTATTGGTGGTGGTGGTTTTAAGTGTTAAATGGTTCCTATTCCATTCTTGCTGTTTTAATCATCATAAGCCCATTATCTATTATTTTTAGGATTTTCTTACTATTTTTATTTTTGGGACTCAGGATTCAAAGATTCGAGATTCGATTTTTTAGGATTCGAGATTCGAAATTCCTGGATTTGACCATCACTAACATGTATTGAACCAGAGAGCCCAAAATGAAACTGTTTATTCTTCAAACTGTGTTTAATAAACTTGCTAGGTACAAAAAACCATAGTAACAAAATAATACTAGTTTAATATTGACTGTACAGATAATGATGAATGATTCACTGTGATCCTTTCAACAGAATTGAGACAATGTCATCTTTTCATTTTTAATTAATTTTATGTTAAATTTATTTTATAACAATTCGTACATCCACAGTAAATTAAAGTGTTACAAAATACAAATATAACAAAAATGTCTTAACAATTTACAGTATACATTATATTTCAAATTTGTATCCCAAATTTAATTCAGCTATCTACAAGAGGTTGAGCAAGAGCTATCTTCAACTCTTCAGACAGAAGACAGTGATCTTCAAATAGACAAAAACTGTTATTGTTATCAAAAAGCGGTTGTAATATTCCAAGTGTCTGAAACAAAAGAAATTAATCAAGGAGCCCTGGACTCTTGTCACTGGGTTTACTTTCGCTTTTAAAAATAATGAAAACATTTACCATCTGACCTAATTACTATTGTCGCATTGAGGCATCAGTTGCAAATTGGTTTCAATTGTTTGTAAATAAATAAATAAATAAAAATGCCTTTATTTATTAAGCGTTTCTCAGTACAAATACTGCTTCTCAGAACAACTTTCGTCAAAAACAATATAAAACTAACAACAAATAAATAGAGCAATAACAAAACAGAAACAAGACAATATGAGTAACAATAATTAACCATCAGTGCACAATTCTTTGATCTTAACTCTAAATGATGATAAAGAATACTTTTTGAGGCCAGAGGGGAGGTCGTTGTACAGTTTTGGACCGAAGTACGAGAAGCTTCGTCTCCCAAACTCAAGCCTCACTCTTGGAAAGTGAAGCTGGAGACCACCATGGCGGGTACTGCGCTGAGAGACCTCCTCCCGGAAAGAGAGCCTCTCAAGAAGGTACTGTGGCTCCTGTAAGACAAGAGCCTTGTGCACCATGCAGCACGTCATGATCCTGCAAACAGTGTCTACTGTTGTCATCCCCGCTACAGCTCTATAGGGAGAGACATGTTCAAATTTTTTGAGGCAAAATATGAAGCGAATAGCTGAATTTTGCAGTTTCTGCATTCGGGTCATGTCTACTCCAGAGATGCTGTTTCCATAAGCAGGGAGACAATATGTAAACACCGACAGGACTAGTGACTGCATGAGGCGCAGCTTCGCAGATTCTGGCAGCAGACTTCTAAACCTGTACAGCCCTCTCAGCCTTCCTAACGCGCGCTGCGAAGCATGTGTGACATGGTCAGAGAAGGTGAGGCTGCTATCAAGCACAACGCCAAGAGTCTTTGACTTGTCACACAAAGTCAAAGATTCCCCGTTGAGCACAACACTCACTCCTCTCTCGCTGAGGGACTGCACCAAGTCTTGTGGCGCCGTATGCATCACAGTACACTTGCCAGTATTGAGTTTCAACCCATTTGCTTCTGACCACAAAAGGATTTTTCTCAGATCAGAGTTAATGAGATCGAGTGAAGCTCTAATCTGGGATGGCTCATAAGACAAGTGCAGCTGTGAGTCATCGGCATACAAATGAACTGTACAATGTTGCACACAGCTAGGAAGGTCTGCCGTGTACAAATTGAACAGAACAGGCCCAAGACAGCTGCCTTGGGGAATTCCTTGGGTTTTGACAAGCGGGGTTGATGTTTCACTCTCTAACTGCGTCACTTGCAGCCTGGAGTCTAAGTATGACCTTATCCATTTCAAAATATTTTCGTCAAAGCCATAATATTTCATTTTGGCCAATAGCATCTCATGGTTCATTGAATCAAATGCCTTTGAATAGTCCAGCATAACTAGAGAACTATATTTACCCTTGTCTTTGGCGTCAATCATATCACTAAATAAGTTCGTCAGGGCTGTACACGTGCTATGGTTAGGTCTAAATCCAGACTGAAGTTTGGGTAATATATTTTGTGTGTTTATGTAGCTGACTATTTGGCGAATAGCTATCTTCTCTAATATCTTTGACATAGCTGGTAATATTGAGATTGGCCTTAGGTCTTCGACTTTTCTTGGGGCTGTAAGTTTGGGTAATGGTCGGATAATACTAATTTTCCAGGACTTAGGAAATTGTCCCTTGTCTAGTGATAGATTTATCAGATGGGTAATTGATTTTATCGCATACGGACTGACAGTTTTAATCATTTCAATTGAAATTTCATCGCTACCCACTGCTTTAGATTTGATCTCATTCATTACATCCATAACCTCTTTTTCACTGACATATTGAAAATTGAAGGTATTTATAATGCCATCTCGTTTATTATCCATAAAATATTCCCAAAGCTGTTTATCAATATCGGTCTCAGCTCCCATGTTTACAAAATATTCGTTAATCTCATTAGCTTGCAGATCATGTGGAATGCTTGAGTTACTCTTAGAGCCAATTATATCATTCCTTTTGAGGCACGTCCAAAATTCTTTTGGGTCTTTTGAGGACGATAGTTTATCAGAAAAATATGTCTTTTTCACACTCCAGATCATATTATTTAACCTATTTCTAACGCCCTTATACCTTTCCCAATTCTCATCACATCTATCTTTCCAATAACGATTTCGCAGTCTATTTTTCTCTTTTGTCAACCGTTTAATATTTTCATTACGCCAAGGAGCCTTCCTCTTTGTAATTTTTTTGCACACTATTGGTGCATTGTCATCAAATATCTTTCTAATATTAGACGTAATCAATGTTTCCACAATATCTATTTCCTGTTTGTTCCTAATACTGTTCCAGTCCATTGCGGCAATCTCAGTTACAACTTGATTAATGTAGAAATTTCTATAATCTCTATATTTTATTAACTTGGCTTCAGGTTTGTTCCTACTTGTACATAGTATGCAATAAATTAACTTATGATCTGTTACCTTAATGCCTCTGTGATCTGTTATACTCGAAGCATCCACTATGCCGGTCCTCTTGACTTCAGTCAACCTGTCCACAATGATATGGTCTAACAAGGTGGCTGAAGTTGCTGTTACTCTCGTTGGCTCATTAATTAGTTGTACAGCACATGCTTCTTTCAAGAGTCGGCTGTAATATTGATATTCGTTACTATTTTTCGACATGAGATCAACGTTCAAGTCCCCTAAACAAATGACATTGTTCACTTCGACTGCAAGATCCACAAACAAAGAGTGAAACAAGGAAGCAAGGCAAGACTGCCTCACATTGGGCGGTCGATAGGCCACACATAGCCCGAGTCTCTCACCACTCATTTTCAAAATGATACAAAGTGCCTCTATGCCAGGACTCAAACTATCTTCAAAGCTGTGACTTTCAAAGTGTATACCATCTTTGATATAGATGGCAACACCCCCACCTCCTTGATCTTCTTCACATTCTACATTTGTGTTACGATCAGCTCGCAACAACTGATACCCAGGCATAGAGAAGTCTTCTGTTGGTGTTCCAGGGCACAGCCACGTCTCTGACACTCCAAAAACATCGAAGTCAAAGTCACGCACCAGTGAGCACATCTCTGAAAACCCCGTATTCAGAGAGCGCATGTTTAAATGAGCGACTTTGAGTTCTCTGGTGCCCCCCCTCCTAGCAAGTTTCCCGAAAGCCTCGGCGAGGGCGGGTCTCCATGTTGGCTGGAGCCACCATGATGACCGCCAACAGCCTCGACCCCAGTCACCTCACCAGGAGCAGGAGCAGGAGCAACAGACGCGACTCTACCATGGTCATGCGAGAGAGACTGCGGAGCTGGCTGATCCAGATACCGCGAAGCCACTTCTAAAATCAGTGATCCGAGTCGTGAGGTGCCTCTACGGTTCAAATGAGTACCGTCTCGGGCGAGGTCTCTCCTGCCAACACAAGTATTAACTTCCACGAATTCAACGTCAAAGTTATTGCACATTAGCTCCAACTGATAGTTGAAGTCGTGGAGAGCTCTATAGCCAATGTCTTGCCTAATTAGGACGCTGTTCAAAACAATTTTAGAATTTTGAAAATTTGTCTTGGCATTATACAACAGATCCGCCATGCTGTGAAGGACTTCTCGCTTTCCGTGCCCTCCATTGTACCCTGGACCTCCCCTGTAGCCTCTCCTAAGGTTGTTACATCCTACATGAATATAAACTACGCTTAAGTCTAAGTTTACAAAGGTCAACAATTTTTCCT